AAATACGAGCTTTTCAGTGACTATTATGCAAAATTAATGATTCAGTCACCTTTATTATAATCTGCAGGTCTAATCTAAATTAAAAATCTTTTTCAAATATCTTGTCCATGCCTTCTGATGACTTAGAAAACATTCTTGGTACTCATATTAAAATACTAATTATGCTGATATATAGCAGGTACTAGTAAATAATTCAGCTTAGTGAAACAAGATTAGAAGACATTACATATAACATAAAGGAGGACAGATTTTTCACYGGTAATACATTTCTGTTTATTCCAGTAATCATTTTGTATGACAAGGTTGAAAGGCTGAATGTATCAGCTAAAGGATGATAGTTTTATATCAAATACTGTACCACAGTATTACAGAATTACTATATAGTATTTGGACAGTCTAAATCTTAGACTAGATAGTCTAAGATATGAGACAATTGTGTTGTATTTACTCAAGTAAACTGGGAAACTGAGAGCAGTATAATATGGATGAAATCTTAATGAATTCTTCCTTGAACCCTTCCTTGGAATTCCTGTGCCCAGTTGCACTTGCGGATTCCAAGTCGCTAAGTCACTGCACTTCTTGATATCCTGGATACAGAAAGATACTATAAAAGCAAGACTAATCTCAATTTCATGAGCCTGCCAGAATTTAACTGGATTTGGTCTTTTATCCACAAMGGGATTCAGCACTGTGTATGTCATAATTAGATGTCTTATCTTTCAGAAGCTGTGCAGGAGGTTTCTTAGTACCCTATCCGTGTGCCTCAGCTTCTAGCTGGGTGCCCTGCAGTCCGCATGGTTGTCTGTGTTGCACTGAGTAGTGGTTTCGTTCATCAGGGAGAGGGAACCTTGGCCAGAAACTTTGTAGGTAGAACACTTATGTGGAGCTCAGCTTTTGGAAAACAGGACCGATACCTCTTCTTCATTATACTGCAGAGTTAATTATAGCAGGAAATTACATCAATACAAGCAAAATGTACCCGAGAAAAGGGATCTGTTCACTGTGAATCAGGGAAATTTCAGGAAGGACTATTGGCAAAGAAGCATGAGAATGGTGAAAGTCAGATATCTGTTGACTTAATTCAGCACAAAGCCTGCCAGCAATTTAAAACATGCTTTGCATTTCACAAGTTGCCTTTCTTATCACTACAGGGTAATGTGGTCTATGATAGTGGGTGACACAACTATGAAAGTCACTCTGGCTCAGTTGTCTATCTCAGACAACAAGGATTTGGGCTTTGATGCCTGGCCAAGTAATTCTCTTGAAAGGAGAAATAAATCCTAGCAACATCTTTCTTACACTTACTTGTTTAGAAAAACTCAGCTGGCAGTGGTTCTTATCAGTTAGTCACTTCTATATTGACATATTCCTTCTGTGAAAGGGTTAACAAGTGAACTAGCTAAGGCAATGGTCAGTTAAGGAGGGAAGAGAGAGAAAGAAAAAGAAAYAGTAAATAGTAGTCTAGGTAACAAAACAACATTTTGTTGATTTAAGGTAGAGCGTATTCAAAAGCAAAAAGGAAAAAGTTCCTGGTTGAACAGACTGGCTCAAAATCCTTCTCATGTAATAATATATGTACATGTATACATACACAGTGCATCTTGCAACTTCAAAGTGTTTTCTCACACGTATTTGACATTTTGGCTTGACAAAAGTAAGAATTGTTTGGTTCATTCCTGTTTCTTTTTGTAGGGTCATTTCTTTTATCATTGGCAGTTCATTTACAGAGAGGAAAAATTGACAGTATTTAGATGATTCCGGTATATATCGTCAAAAAATAGCACAATCCTCATAGTCCTATCTCATAAGGAGTATTTCAAAATGGTAATTCTTGAAAAATCCAATGTTGAGTCATTTATTTCCCCTTGGATATCCACATAATATTTCTACCACTTGGTGAGCCAGACCACTGTGGGATTATAAAGGATAATATTTTTATACACTCAGTACAGCAAAAATAACATCCATAAAGCTAACCAGCTCTCCAGAAAGAGAGAATCATTGTAAAGGAGTGAAGAACACAGTCTGTGATACACAAGTTACAAGATAATCAGTTAGCAGCTMCATAGTTGGCAGCAGCATGTCCAAGACTGTCGAAGTTCTGCATTTTGTTCTGTTTGATTTTTGGCTTGTGATYCAGCTGACATGACCTGTTATAGAGGTTGTTCTCATGGTTCCCTTTTTAATTTCTCTGTCTAGAGAGAAATGCATATACCAAATTGCTGAAGAACAGGAAGGCGATGAGAAACAGAGGAAGTCTCTTTTCCATAGTCAAGAATCTTCAAGTCCCTTGGTGAGCAACTTGGTCAAAAAATTGTCCTCCACTCACTTTTTGGTTGACTTCGCCTCTGATGATGTGAAATGTTGGTCTTCATGAGGAACAGAAAAAAAAATACTTGAATTTCATATGGAGTGTTGTTGCCCTGTTGAGGGAGCTAAGTAATTTGTTCATATTTTATTTTACATGTTTTCAGTTTATTTTATCTTGCCATATCTCAGATGCTAGCTATCAGTATGCACTTTAATCCAAAACTCATTTTATTTTTTTACTTTTTTGGTTTCAAATGGATTTTGTCAAAAAAGTCCTAGTAAGAAGAAACTACTTTAATATGTCTCGATTTATTTGGGTCTGCGAAGATCTCAAAAGCATTCATTTTCTCACTTTAGAATTTTCACTGAGATTTTTAAATACCCCAAAGCTTATGTTTGAATTTGKGTCTTGCTATGTATTTCCAAAGAATTTTTTTTTGTACATTTCACCATGGAAAGAGTGGAAGCTGAGCTACTCCAACTGATAAAGTTTGACTTCTAGTACTTAACATTCCAAGAAGTATGTGGACTTAAAGGACAAGTGAGTTTCGCTTTTGGATTCAGCATCATTAAAATAACATTTTCTTTTTTTTTTCTGAAATAAGACCTGGAATTTCCTCAGCTTGTTATTTTTCCCAGCAACAAAAGTCCAGGGTAAAAAACTAGGGACTTTTTTATCTGTTGGCTTCTATTTTTTGATAGATAAAAGTTGTGTTCTTTTTACTTAAGTGAAATAATGCCTCAGAATAAAAGAAACAGGCTATTTTATGTTCTGTGCMGATTAGCAGTTTTCTGTATTGTTTTATCTGTCGTCTTTTGTGGACTCTAGATACCATCAGAGACTGTGCAGTTAAATTAACCCAACAGGAAATGTAATAGTTACTGAAATGGTGCCTAAGAAAGATAATAGAAACAATTTATTTTTGTATAAAGTATCTCAGAAATTCAGAAAAGGAAAAGCAGAGAAAACTTTTTTTAAGTTTTTTTTTCTTTTTTTTTTCAACAGATGACAAGTTAGATGTTGTATAGTGAAAAGTGGGTTATGTGGTAATGCGTTGGTGTTCTCTTTGTAATGAGGAACAAAGTTAAAATTTCTGAAACAGACACAATCCTTTAAATAGATCTGTATGTAGATCTCATCCCTCCCATCCAGCGGTGAAAATTATAGGGATTCAGTGATGCTCTCCTCCCTCTCTTGGGGGCTATATGGAGGTTGTACAATTGTCAGAGGATGAGAAAGAAGGTGGTGGGAGTTATGGAAAGAGAAGGGTCAGGGAAGCACTGGAAAACAAGAAAAGCCAGTAGGCCCTGAGAAAGGGCAGACAATATAAAATTCATATACCCAGTTATTGAGGTTACCCAGAACTGAAAAGTTGAATCTGGCATGTCAAATATCTGCAGTATAGGCCATATAAGCAGCACTCTTAATAATTGTACAGGTGTGTTCAGTAGTTTTTCAGTTACTTGGTAAAGATTTAGCTATATTGAAGTTGTTGCTTAGGATGCAGTGCCTGTTCTTCCTTTGTTGACAAAAGTAAGTTTTCTCTGCCAGCATAGATCTCATTCAGCCTACAGGATGCTTCTCTTGCTCACATTCTTTAGGCAAGGTCATGCTGTGGATATATCAGATGCTTCTGCAGGGTGGAAGGTCTTCAGCCCAGTGGCTTCCAGGGCACATCTTGAGAGAAAGATCTTTCATGAAATGGGTGAGACTGCAGTTAGGGGAGACCTAGGTATGAACTTGTTGAAATAGCTCTATGACCTAAGACCAAAGAAACATGGAGAGAAACTAAGCTGTTTCTGATTTCTCACGAGTGCTGTTCCTTCTACTGAAAGACTCTGCCATCTCAAGCTGATGGGACAAAAGGATGCTTATACATATATGCTTAAATAAGTCTGTGGGTTGAGATTCTGTATAAAAGTAAAGACTCTAACGCTAGCTTTATATATATATATATAGCAGAAATCCCAAGTGGAGTCTCTAGATGCAGATATTGGCGTGAAGTGCCATTAAGCATTTTATTGCTGGCATAGGAAGCAGGTCAGATTAGGCCAGTTTATTTCTAGCATTTTCAAAATCTCCTCTGCCAAAAGAAGAGTAGCATTAGCCCTCTTCTCAACAGGTCTTGGCCCCTAAGTTTAAAAAAAAAAAAAAAAAAAAAAAGATTTTTTGAGAGACAAATTCTATGTGAAGTTTTTTTTAAACTTTCCCATAGTATTCTCCATGAAACAATGCAGTAAACTGCCCTCTAACTGCATATTCAGTTCAATATCTAACATATTACATAATGCACATTTTGTTCAAATAGCTCCTAAACATATCAAGAACTTGTCAAGTCTTTTGTCTAGAGGAAATCTTGAATTTCATGATAGAGCTGTTTGGTAGGGCTGTGTAAGTATGAACTAAAGGCACTGCTTAGCACAGTTCTGAAGCAGTTTTATTTTCTTTTGTTCCAGAAAAGTCAGAAGTAAGTTTCGGTTTCCTGGAAGACTTCCATTTCTGCTGCCAAGCCAAAAATGACGTGTTCGGTATTTCTGAACCTCTCCTGGGATGCACAATTAGCTTAGCTCTGTTTGTCCACCAAAGCCTTAAAAAGTCTCCTTTGAATCTTACATGTATTGGAAAACATATATTTACATTCTAGTGCTTAATTCCTTCAGTCTTCTGGGTCTTGGGTAGTATGTTTGTAATACTACTACTTTTGGTTGTAGATGGTTGTACTCTGCACAGGTCAGTTTCTTCCAGCCTCACTCATGTCACTGGATTATCTGAACTCTYGAGACCAACATCGAAAACTTGACARCTGTTCTTATATCTTTTTTGCAGACAGAACAGCCAGGTAACATTTGTTATGTATTTTCCTATTTGCAGGTTGAATACTGAGGGTAGTAGGGGCCACAATAAAGTGCATGTTGATTTTAAAATGCTCAGATTAAAACGCTTAATGTGGAAGAAAAGGCAAGTTTTAAAGRAATTTATCAGTGCTCTTGGCAAGTCTGTACTTCCTTTAATAGTATGTGTTGGCCAGCTCAGTTCTTACTTGTACTGTMTGAGTTAGATTTGTCTGATTGCTCACCTTAAACCCTCTGGTAAGGATCCAACACCAGTAAAATTAATGGCAGCTCTCCAGTTTAATTTACTGGGATCTGCATCAGGGTTATTTCCTATTCCATGGTATCTAGTGAAGGATTTAATTACAGTTTTCCCAGCATACGGATAATACCTTCTATGTTTATAATTTCTTGTATCTAGAATCTCATTTCCCAGAAATAGAGAAATTATGCCTTTCTTTCTGTGGCTTAAAGTATGAGTATTTAAGCAGTCAAAACAGCAGTCTGCTTCTCTTTTTAATTAAAAAGTATTTATTTGCAACTTAACTAAGAGGATGTGCTTTCCTTCAGAAAAGCACTTTTTTGAGTGAATCAAATCATGTTCTATAAATGCTGTTTACCTAGTTCCACAGATTTTAGTTCCTGGGTTTGATTAAAAAGATAGACAGGGTAACAGCAAGAGCCTGACCACCTCTGGTACAACTCTCACCTGAAGATGGTATATTGGAGCCAGCACTAGTGTCTTGGCCATAAAATCTACTTGAATCAAAAGGTTTTAGATTATATAGTGCCATCTTTCAACAGCGAAATTTGTTTATCAATCATAGATTTGTTTTTAATTTTAGTGTTTTCTTTTCCAAGTAATTAGTTAAGAGAGTTAGTTAGGTCCATGCCCTTTATAAAGCGCACGGTGCAGTGACAATCACAATTCACAGATATCAAAAAACCTGTTAAATTACTGCATATGAAATGATCTTGTAGAGACATTTTTAAAATGTTTTGAATTTCTTGCTGCTTTGATTGAGATTTTGAAATTTGTAATTGAGTAATTGAGATTTGTAAACCTTTGTTGTTTGCTTTCATAGCATTTCCCATTTTAAAATGAAGCACAGGCATTATATTACTTTCTGCTAATATTCTCTCCTTACCAGACGTTACGTAGTAGAACTTGTCTTTATTCCAAACTACATATTCACTGGAAACCAAGTACTGACCTGGAGTGGTGTTTTGCTCTCTCAGAGGAGTATCAGGGATGTAAGACATGCCAATAGCATTTCACAAGAAGGGCCATTTGACTAAAATCCATCTGAACGTCACTAGCCTGGTTCAAGCTGATGAAGTCTGATCTCCACACTTTCATCTTACTTATTTCTTGTTTTTTTTAGGGATCAAGAGTACTTAGGATTGTGAATAACATCACCTCGCAGATTTGTGGCACAGCTTCCAAAGGAAATGGACAGAATTGAGTATTATTAGGACTTTTGTCAGAAGACCCACCCCTCTGAACATACTGAAGGTAAACTTGGGTAACTTTTCCATCTGATAGATCATTCTGTTGAGCTATTTGGAATTACCCACATTCATTCATTTTATCAGACGTTTGCAGAACAAGATCTTGACTTGCTCTTTGCAAGTACAATAGGCAGCATATTTATTGTTTTGCTGGGCTTCACATTCTGATTTAAAAAAAAAAAAAAAAAAAGGCAGCAGAGGGCGCTGAAATCGCCTACCTAGCACTGTGTGGATGACTTCCGCCCTGCCCGGGCTTTCCCATCCAGGGATTTCCCGCAGAACCTTTATAAAAGCATACGGGAGCTGTCTGGACAAACAGTCGCAGGGCAGCAGGCTCTCACTGAACTGCTCTGCAGGAAATAGAAAGCAAGACTTGTGAATTTACTCTCTTCACTTAATTACAGCAATTACAAATGATAAAGCAGATGGAAAGAACAAGCCAAGCTGTGGTAATAATTTTGTGTGTGTGCATGAGTGGTAAGTTCGGAAAGTTTCTTTCCTTTAATTTGCTTAAATTTTACTTACTGCCAACTGAGGTGCAATTTGCTGTTTGGTCTTTATTTCGTTTCTGTTGCTTTTACGTGTCAGTACAATTGTCAATTAAGAAGCTCTGCTGGAATATTAAGAAACTTTTTTCCACATTCATTTTGAGCTTTTTTATGCTCTGCAACAACACGATCCTTTTCTCAATCAGTTTGTTAGGTAATTTAGGAGGCAAATGCTGTGTATCACTGCATGTTTGGTTTTACTATCATTCCTGACAGTATCGGTAAAGTTTGATACTAAACATCCTGTTGGAAGTGATTCTGTGATTATCCTTTTAACTTCTTTACTTACCCTTCTCTCATATCTTACAAAATTTTAGAAACAGATCCAGGTAGCAAAAAGTCGAATTCTGCTAATGCAATTATTTTTACTTTTAGACCTGTTTTTATGCCATTTCTTCCCTCTCCAAAAAAAAAAAAAAAAAGAAAAAAAAAAGGTTAATATAACCTGAGTCCAAGTTACCCAAAGTTATCTGTACTGCGTAAATATTGCTCTTTATTTTTCCTTTGGACCAGTAAACCAATGTATGAGCTTTAATATTTTAACTGTCCTAAACTGGTAAAGAGCTCTTGTGTTGCAACAGACCATGAAAAGATGGAAAAGAAGGAAAATAAATGTTGGGAATGCTGCTAAGTTTATGCATATTCTCCCTGTTGTAGTTAAAGCTTTTGAAATGGAGATCACACCTGCCAACAGAATTGTTGCACAGATGGGAGATGCAGTCGTGCTTACATGCAATGCTACTGGCTGTGCATCACCAAGTTTTTCCTGGAGAATCCAAACGGACAACCCCCTCGGAGGAACAGCGACACACCACGGGACATACTCTACCTTGACTATGAGTGCAGTTAACATTAACAATGCTCATGATTATTTGTGTACTGTCTGCTGCAAGGATGAGAAGAAAGAAAAAAGTGTCAAAATTGAAGTTTACTGTAAGTGAATATGTAAAATTTTCTCTAAGTAGGACTTAGAAAAACTCCATGATTTGTTCTTAGATGGTACAATTGATAGTCAACTGATAACCCTAGAATTAGGGAGCAGAAGCCTGGGTTCCTTGCTGGATCTTACTAGATCAGCTGTGAATCATATTCTAAAAAGTGCACTAATGTAATTCTTGCTAGTGCATGAATTGCTTATGAAAGACATCTTCATATCAAACTATGTCTTGTAACATAGATAATAAACAGTCATGTTCTGAACATCTCTAAACTTCAGATATTTCAAATCTGGATCTTGCTCTTGTATTTTCTCTAGGGCCTGTCTGTGGCAGACTAAATAAATGTGTTTTGTTCTTTCAGCTTTCCCCAGTGACCCTGTCATTGAGATCAGCGCATCCTTAGCTGCTGGAGAACAAACCATTGTCACCTGTAAAATTCCCCATGTGTATCCTTCTGATCGCCTAGAAGTATTCCTAAAAAAAGGGGATCATGTTCTTCACGAGCAAAATTTTTATGAAGATCATAGCACAAATGCGGAGACCAAAACTGTGACATATTCATTTAACCTCACTACTGAAGATATTGGGAAAGAGATTTCTTGCGTGGCTAAATTACCAATTGCTGATATGAACTTTGAACCCAAAGAAAGAGTAACTTCTCAGAAACTGAATGCAAACTGTAAGTCTTTTTATACTTTGGGGTTTTCAAATACTATTTTACATTAAGGTTCATGAGAGGGCTTACAACGTATGTGCTGTAAATCATTTATAATCTACACTTTTTATCTATATTTGTTTAGATAATCTACTATCTAATAAACATTAGGCATTGTAGCAACTGTATTGCAGTCTGTGGATTTTAGTTATTAAATGTCGTCTCTGGATACAGACTGTAACTTCTTTGTGGAACAGGTGACTGATGGCTTCAGGTTCAAAGGTGATGGCATATAAGTTGAGTGGGGTTGTGTTCAGTATCACTTGGCAACTCCGTAACACACAGTTGTTCATGATGGAAATTAGGCAATCCTGCAGTAACTTCTCTCTCACTTTCTTACCTTAAGGAACAGGTAAAGACCAGAATAAAAATATCAACACCTAGATATAGAAATATTTTTTAAATTGCCTTTGTAATTCTAAGTTTGTAGTCCTAGTCAATGGAGTAAGCATTTAAAAAAAAAAATACACATTTTGGCTAGTTTAGCTTTTAAAGCTGCAAGTATGAACGCCTCGTCAAGTTTGGGAAAAAATGTTCTACTGGTACACTCAGATTGTTATTTTTGTTCAGTATTATGTGAAGTGTTTYTCTAGAGAAGCTAGCCTTAGAGATGTGCTTACCTTCATCAACATGTTGATAATATTTTCCTTTCGTTCTCTTCCAGTTGGTCCTAAAAATACTGTCATTATTGCATCTCCAAGCAACTCAGCAATGGAAGGACACTCTATAAATCTCACTTGTGTGACTGACAGTAATCCACCACCACAAATAGTTTGGAGAAGACAAGTGGCTGACAAAATTGTCCAGTGTGCATCAGAAAACAATGTCCTTACTATTCCTGAAGCCCATTTCACTGATTCAGGAATTTACATCTGTGAAGTAACTAATTTGTTGACTAATAAAACAGAGAAAGCAACTGTGGAGATCGTTATACAAGGTACAAGTCTGCATAAATTTTACTTGTATTGTTCAGGTCCCAATCTGCAACTGTCTCTTCCTTTCAGGAATGGAACTCTGAAAGTTAGGAAGTTTTGGGGCCTTCCTTACAATATATTCACAGATCAAATTTTGAATTACTGTAACTCATTGTGGGCTATCTCATACATTTAGATGATTAATTTTCAGCTACTTTTTTTGCTACTGGTTTTCATGCAGTCCTATAAATATCTCCTGTAGTGCCACACTCGGMGTCGTGAAGGAATCTGAGAAAGTGGTATCGTGGGGTTTCCCTAGAAATAGTAATAAACAGTTTCGCAGGAACATCTCTTCTCCTGCTTTGGACTTTGAATGAATAGTAGCAAATTTAGCGGTCATTTATTAGTAAAACTATTTCATACTTTATTGCCACTATTGCAGTAGGGACAAAAGTCTCAGCTGGAATCGGGGACCAAAACCAAAACAAAATGATCCTTTGGCAAACAGTTCCTGCTTTCTCAAATGCTCTCCATCTTCAGTAGTTCTTTTGCTTTAGTATAACATCAGTATTTCCTCTTGTCATGCAGGTCCTCCAAATATTGCAGAGTTCTCCGTAGAGCCTTCTACAACAGTTCATGAAGGAGAAAATGTTTCTATACGATGTTTTGCTGAGAGTAACCCTCCTGCTAAGATTGTTTTAAGGAGAAAATCTGACAGTGAAGACTTGGGACATAACAGTGAAGGAGGAATTCTCCTTCTGTCATCTGTGACATTCCTTAATAGAGGAGAGTATGAATGCATAGCGGAAAACAAGTTTGGGGAAAAAAGAAGTGCAGTGGCTCTTAATGTGGAATGTAAGTGTCTATAATATATTCCAGTCATTTAAACATAATTAGTTATGTCAGTACTCCCCTTACTCAAGTGATAGGTATAGCAAGCAAACTAAATGAAAGCCTATGAATACAAAACCAGAGTCAGAGTTCTGCCTGTTCCCTAGCCCTTCTAGTCCTCTTTTTAGCAATTTTTTCTCTTTSTGGAAAAAGAACAGTCTAATCTTCTGTACTTTCCCAAAAAAAGGAGCAGTGCTGAGGAGCAAAACAGAGGCATGAAATCTTTAGTGTAAAGGTTAGACCTGGCATTTTGTCAGTCTTAAATCAAGATCTAAGTGAGGCTGACTGACCAGTAAACCATTCTTGGTTTATAGATAGGTATACAGCCTTTGGAGAATTTGCATTGAAGCTCTGAATCTGTGTGCTTTACTTAATTGTGAGGATAAGAGAGAAATTAACTTCAGTAGGCTGACAGCCTGCATGCAGCAGTAAATGCTAGTCCTTCTCTAAAAATTCTATTGATAATTAACTACATCGTTCTTCCTTTTAGATGGACCAAAGAACACAGTCATCTCTGTAATCCCTGCTGCTGTTGTTAAAGAAGGAGAAACTGTGACAATGAAATGTAGTAGTTCTGGTAATCCAACTCCAGTGATCTCTTGGAAGAAAAAGACTGCCACTGGGGAGTCTGAGAAAATTTTTGAAGATGCGACTTTAACTATAGAGAATATCAAAAGTCAAGATTTGGGACTTTATGAATGTGAAGCACGTAACCAATTCGGCGGAGAAGAAAGAGCTGTGAAATTACTTGTTCAAGGTCAGTAGAAGAAGATGGAAAACATTTTAAAAATACATATTTTAGGTCCAAATCTGTGCAAGTCAGTGGAAATTCTGTCTTTCATGTCAATGRAGTCAAAATTTGGCCCTATTCCATTTAATCATTTAGGTAGCTCTATTAATGAAGAGTGAAATTTGCCTTAGTACAGACAGGTACAAAACTCTCCATGTCAGATTAGCTTCTGTTACTCCTTTCTCTGGGAAGTGTACACACCAGGCAAAGTAGTTATGAAGGAAAGCATTTATATTTTCCACTAACTAGGATCCAGATACTTGTTTAGAAAAGATTCAAAGAGAAAGAATATGCTGAAAATTCCCTGTGGAGGGAGTGTTTTGAAGCTCCTTGGCCCTCCTTAAGTGTTGACAGTGTATTCTGTTCTCATAAGCTCCGTTTAAACTTACGCCAAATGCCAAATCCTCAAGCTGTGTGCAAGGAGAGCTGAGTTTCGTTTTCAGGGAATATTTTTTTCAGTTGTTGCTCAGATTGCCAGTAGAAAGCAAGATCTGGGGCTTGTTTCCATTCAGGACCCAGAGCAAACTTAAAAATAGGTGCTTTTGAATTTGAAAAAAAAGATTGAATAACAGTATGTGGTCACAGCACATACATTTGCATTTTAGTAAATTTAATAAGCAGTCTAATCTTGAACGCCATTCCTGAAAGCAATCTAATTGACAGCACTACTGTAAATATGTGTAGTATCATTATCTATAAGTAAACAATGATTAGGATATTGTTATTAGGCTGTTTATTTTTAAAATGTAACTTCTTTAAGCAGTATATTTCTCCTCCTTAGTCAGTCTGGTTGTGTTGATTGCATGGCAATAAGTTGTTGTTTAGAGGTCACTTCTGCTACTAATCAGTCTCCCTTTACTTTTTTGTAGCTCCACCGAAAAACACAACTCTTAAAATTTTCCCTTCAAATGCAGTGAAACAAGGAGAACGTGTTACCATCTCTTGCACATCGACAGGTGTTCCAACTGTTCAGATTACTCTGAGAAAGAAAACAGATGGTGCAATCACAACACTTGAAACACAAGATGGCAAATATACTCTGGAAAGTGTTTTGCTAAAGGATGCAGGAATATATGAATGCGTATCCAGTAATGAACTGGGAGAGGAGTCTCAGCACCTAGTACTTGATGTCAAAGGTCAGATAAAATAACTACTGTATTAAGTTAATGTGATTTTTTAGAAGGATTAAATTACATCTTCACTTACATTTCCTTCAAATTGCAGTATTTGGGCTCATCTTTTGTTGTCCATTAAGAATTAAATGTCTTTTTAAAAATTTGTTTTGAGATGAATTGCAAATTAATGAATTTTAAAAAAAAAAAATGATAAGAGTCTTAGTGGTCTTAAAAACTGCAGTCCAGATGCACACAATAATTACTTCTTCAAAATGTTCATAGTTCCACTTCCCCCAAACTGTAAGAACAGGATTTTAAATTGTGGAACCTAATGATAAAAATGCTATTTTTTGCCTCTTCTTTTCCTCATTTGTTGAAAGAGGACGCCAATCTCTGTGGCTGTAAACTCATGTCCTTTCATAGACTCACAGAATAAATAAGAAAAGAAAAAAAAGTCTCTATATAACATAAAATAAATGCAAAGTGGTCAGGTGCTAAAATGTTCTTTCAGTCAATTGCTGTTGAGTGCGCTTTCTTAAGTATAGGTACCAAGCAGCATGTAATGCTACATGCTCAAAAATTATGGTGAATCTTTTAACTGAATTGATTTAACACTTTGTGTCTACACGCTGCTGATACCTTATGAACTTTTTTTTTTACCTTGGTTTCTATCTTACTGTGTTTCTTTTCAGTTCCTCCTCAAAATATTACTGTGTTAGTACATCCATCGGAAAACGTTCAAGAAGGAGAAAATGTCACTATTACATGTAGCACATACAGTAACCCACCACCACAGATGATCCTGAAAAAAGTCCATCCAGACAAAGAAATTATTCTGACRTCAGTGAATGGAACCTTTGTACTCTACAATGTCACCGAAAGTCACACAGGCACATATTTGCTTGATGTTTTCAATGAGGTTGGAAACAACATTAAAATGATTGAGATAGCTGTTGTAGGTAGGTGGATCTGTTGCCTTAAACTAACTTTGTTCTTGTCTTATAATGAGTTTTGTGTCAAGGTGAGCACATCTAGTTCACTGCTGATCCTTGCACAGAAACAGTRTGCTTAGCTTTAAAAAACCAAAAAGACTAAGCTAAATAAAACAGCTGGTAAGAACCACCTGTATATAATCTCCTTTCAGAATGAATGTTGTTGAGCCCCTTGAGCAGAGGGGCTAATCCATTGGAGGGAGAAAGCTTCATTTCACAAAAACTGCTATGCTTCCAGGAAGCAGAAGTGTCCCAAGTATTCCCTGGGGAAATGCAGGATATTTCTCCTATTTTTCATGACCTTCATGGTACTCTTCATTGTAAGCAATACCAAATTGGTTGGAAGTTGCCTAACAAATTCAAGAATGAGATGCTATCTAAGAAATAGTGGGTAATATGGAATTGCTAAAGAGGCAAATATATAAGGAAGAGGGTTGGAAATGTGCTTTGTGCATGAGAACAGAAAAGTAGCCCCAGTGAAGATGATTAATAGCATAACTTTTACAGTAATACACATTTATTTGTTTAAATCACTTTTTACAGAACTGTTTTCCTCTTTATGTCTCTATTTTGCAGGAAGAGTGGAAAACCCAGATCAAATGATGCTCGTGATTATTGCATTTTCCTGTGTAACAGCAATAGCAGTACCTGTAGTTGCAATTTTGATCTACGTGTCAAGACAAGCAAAGATAAATGGATCCTACAGTCTTGTAAAAGCACTGAGACTGAAAGTGTGATCACGTGAATATAATAGTCTAAGTGGTTCATAATAAGCAATGCTATTTATTATTGGCTCTGCCAACACATTCATTGACTTTGCTCCTCTTCCATAATATGCTGTAACAAGCAAGTGACTTGAAAATGTTATTTTGTGATAGCAAATGGAAAGTGGTTTGTGTTTTCATGAGTATTTCAGTATTTAAATTAAAGGAAAAAATAGGAACAGGGAGTTGAAGCATGCCCAGCAATGAGTCCCTGGGAGGACTAGGTTTGTATATAGTGTATAATTTGTATTATAAGTATATTCAACTGAATATCTGTAAAACTGCAGTCTTGCTGCAACTGTACATAGAAATGTTGTTAATTCAAGTATACAAAATCAGCATTATTTGAGTTGATTGGATGGTAATATTTTATTTTGTATTATTCTACAGAATGGATGATTTTAATGGAAATTGTCCACTTGTGGAAATGCTTGAAAAATGTTTTCTCTTTGCTTATGTTGCCATAAAGTTACTTTCAGTTAAGTTGCACAATCTTTGGGACATGCATTTCTAATTAATTTAAATGCAATTAAGATCTCAAGACTCATCTTTAAAACATTTTAGTTAATATGTTATTATAAATGCTATTTAGAAAGTGGCAGGGATTAAAGTCTAGTTAGTTTTAGAAAAGCAAAGGTATTTTGTATCATTCTCAAGTCAGTGGCAGAATTCTGCACTTTCATGATGAGCAAAATCATCCCTTTATTATGTAAGCTGCCAATAAGTATATTTTACACATTTCCACTGCAAAATAAAGCTGCTAGTGGGTTTCTGTCATAAAACCCCCYTGCTTACCAAATCACCATTGCTAATGTATGTTTCTCTGGAGAGCAAGATGATCCATATTCAGAAGTTACAGGGTATAGATTAATTGGTTGTAGATATCTATTTCTATCTATAGATTTGGTCTGATATAGATAAAGTTAAACAAGTCTTGGAGATAGGCTGCCTTATTGAGGGGAAGCTTGTGTGATTCTTGTGCACATTCTTATAGAAGGCACCGGTGGACACAGTTCCTTCTAATACCAGTAAGTTGAAACGTTGTGGGAAGCCCTGACTTTAAAGGCACAGGCAAAGTAGGCAGTTGCCTAAGGCTATAGGGGGAAGCAAAATCTAGGCAGCCTCAGCAAAGGCAGCTGAGTCGCTTCCTGAAGCTGCTCCCAGACTGCCCGGGGTGTAGAAAACCAAACYATTTGCCTGACAGCTTGCTTTCCAAGCAGTGCCTGTGTGTTCTGCACCCTGGGAGGTGCAAAGCGAGACTGCGTGTGCTGGGCTGTTGCCTGGGCCTGCATTTAGTCTCATCCAGACACCTTGAACCACTGGGTTAGACAGAAGAAACTGGGCCTGGGCACTCCAAATTCCTCTCCATGCCTCCCCCTTCCCAACAAGCTCAAAGAGATGTGTGAAAGGAGTCTCTTTATATTRCAGCACTTGGTAACAGCCACCTCCAGGAGCGATACAAAAGTAGCTGGCTCTCAGTAGGTAGAGCCTGCAGGATGAGGCAGGGATGCATGGCCCCCCATCGCAGTGTGCTCAGCAGTATTTTGTGCACAATGAGGGAGGTCATGCAGGGTCCTGTGCCTCCCTGCACAGGGAATGGGAGGCTTGGGAAGTGGGGGTGTAGCAGAAAAATGGGAGAGCAGTGTGGACTTGGCTTGGAGGAATGCAGGCATGCAGTAGGAGGGTGAAGAAAAGACTAAAGACAGAAGAGGAGGAGAGCTTTGACAGGCCTCTGACACAGATTTCTTGGAGGTGGTGCCAGGCAATGGAATGCTGTCAGGCCTGTCTCTGTGCARTCTTGTGAACAAACCAGAAAGCATAATTTTTTCCATTATGCAAAACATTTTGCATACTGTATATAGTTCTGGGCTTTGTATTCCAAGGACATAGTGTAATTACAAAAGATACAGAGAAGGAACTAAAATTATTAAGTGGTTGGAGGAGCTGGAGAAAGAAATTAGGAAGGCTGGGACTTCTCAGCTTGGAGAGAGCATTTTGAAGGAGAGATATCACTGAGGTTTTCAAGATTGTGGAAGTAGCTGAGAGCAAATAAATGCAGAACTGTTTGTTAAATCCTGCAGTGCTGGAACTACAGGACACTCAAAGTAACTAGGAGATAGCAAGTATTCTTTTACATAGTAGGTGGTAARCTACTGGTGGCTGCTGCTGTAGGAGGTTGTGGGAGGTAATAGTATCAATCAGCATGAGAAAGGAATGGACAGATTAATGTCTTTTCTGAATGGTCTAGGGCAAGACCTGCTTGGAGGAGCTTAGTAGTTCCTGTGGGTTGTTTTTCCATCCTCTTCTATTCCCTCGGAAAAAAAAAAAAAAAAAAAATGAAAGAAAAAAAGAGTAGGAGAATCTAAGTCATTCTGCACACCCATTCTGGTGCCCATTTAAGTTCTTGTCAATTATTCCTCAGGCTTCTGATATCTTTGCTGTGCTGTTGGTTTCACTGTTTGTGCAGATTGGTGATATCTAAGTCACTTGTCTGTCTTCTCAGACCTGTACTGCACTCTCAGACACAGTCGCTGCTTTAGGAGATGACATTTTTATGTGGGCAGTGAACTTCCTCTCCATGAAATCATGAGGAGAACATTGTCAGGGGATCTCCACCCCTATGGAGGCTAACTCGGGATTTTCCAAATGCTTTGATGATTTGATCAGCAGCTGTAGTATGGGGGTTAAAAGTTCAKAATCGAGTATCTTTTCTACTTATTGAAAATTCTGGAAGGAATATGATTTCCCTCTGCGGTGTTCCTCCTGACACAAAGTGCAGAGCCCCTGCCGTGGTAAAAAGGCATTAACAGCAGCTCCAAGCCACCAAATGCTTTCAGAAGGGATCACATCTGAAGGCTTAGACTCAAGGGTCTTGTGTCCAACTGAGAAAGGGGGCTGTGAAGGAAAGCCTGTGAAGGGTTCACTTAGGTTTTCTCCGTAAAGTTACTTCCCAATGGACAGAATTGTGTTTTATCCTCTCTGCCATGAAAGGACTGTGCTCAAGCACTCCGATTCTCCACGTCCTCAGAGCAGGGGTTTATCCCAATAGGAGCCTGCGGGCAGTGCAAACGGTTGATGCATGAGGTTAAATTTTGAAGGGTTTTAATTTTTTTTACTTCCTGTGGTTAGGGCAAGATGTGTTCTTCCTTGAAAATGTAAAGCTCCAATTGATGAACATACGTTTTTTCAAACTTGCTTGGGAAAGTCTCTTGGGAACAAGAACAGCCTGGTGAGTGTGGCTACTGCTGCTGCTCAGCGCTACCACCATCTCCCATCACTGCACGGAGGGGTGTCCCCCAGCAGAGCACGTGGCCATGTAAGGACTCCACTTGAGGGTGGAGTATCCTCAAAACTCCACAAAATGGAGACTGCACCGTTGTCCATGATCGTTAGTTCTGCCCTTGCTGTTGGAAACACATGGCCTGTTGTTTAGTTCTGTTTGTCCGTCCTTGGCTTCCAGCCCTTGGCTTGTTTCGTGCCTTTCTCTGGGCTAGATAATTATATCCTGTAATCAAGCTGTCTCTTAATCTTCTTTTTGGAAAACTAAACACTTTGAGCTGTTGCAAGACTTAACTTTCTTTATAARGTGTTTTATACAATCTGTAAAGAACTCTCAGACTCTTTTCTAAATCCCCTCCAGTACTTTAACATATCATTTAGCATGGAGCCACAGGACTGTGCACAATATCCTGGTGTTGGTTCTGCCAAAACTGATTATACTTCTTGACTCCTGCTGTGTACAGCTCTTTTTACATAAATCCCTTTCTGTTACAGAATCAAAGCTATTGCTCAGTTCTTAATTCTCATTACAATTTCACAACTCTTGGTAAAGGCACTGCTAGCACTTCCTTCTGAGAAATTATAAGCTTTTCTTTATTATGTTTTCCATTATTTTACTTTAATCCCCATCAACTTTTTCTGTTATTTAAACCCTTGTCATGCCAAGCAATCCATATATCCACATTTTACCCTGATCATTCARCTCATTTGAAAAAAACAGAGTTTTTGCCTCTGTATTCAGTTTCAAAACTACTTCTCAAATTTGAAAAATAGATGAGAGAAGCAGTGAGATCAGGGAAAATCTCTCTGTTGCTTGTTATGCAACTAAACAAGCTTTAAATCTCACAATCTTTTGAGGTCCATATGCTATATATCCTGTCCCCAAAGAGATAAAGTTATGCTAGTGTAAATATGAAAATACTTGCTTGTGAAAGGAGTGATGAGAGGTTTTTTTKGTAGCTTCTGAACGTCTTAAAAGTTATAATTTGTTGTTTTGAGTAGTTGGATAGTCACCAAGTACCAAAGCAGCAAATAATAATGTCTGTCTCTCTGCCTTTTCTGTCTCAGTAGTTCTTCAAATGCTGTTTAAGTAGACAAAATGGCCTGACGGGTTTCTCCGAGATACAAGCATGTGCAGTTCCCCTGCAGGCTCCTTGTTCCTCTCAGAAATTCTGCTAGGTTTAAGGTTTGTTGTTACAAAGAGAACAGGGTTTTGGTTGGCTGGAAATTTAACTACACAAGGTCACTTTCTGCTTTTTGCAGATGTGAGCAGAATTCGTCATTTAAATCCTAAAATTTATGCGAGATGTAGAATTGAATAATTTATGGAGATAATCCAAGTTTTATAGATAAGCTCTCGGAGAAAGGAATAATAAAATCCCTTCTCACATACAAAATGCAGTTCTAGTAACACAAGTACTAAGTGTTTTGTTTTTGTGAATAGTCAAAATGGCCTTGGTGCTGATTACAAAGCAGTGTGGAGCAGGYAGCACCRTTTTTTTATGTGTATATTTGTTAGGGAATCTCACTTCTTTTGAGAAATTGTGACAATGTTGGCATAAATCACTTTTCCAAGGATTCTGCGTTGGAGAGACAAACAAGAACATGGCAGAATAGCGCCCTACTTGCTGGCTTTAGCAGCCAGGAGAGGAATGTGTCTATAGACAGCAAAGGAGCTAAGTAAACATATAGGGAACATGCTAATTTGTTTCCCTATCTAGAGTTGCATTCACAGATCTATGTTGAACTATAGATGTCCTGAAGCATCGTATTTATTAAAGCTATCTACATATTTAAATATGGATATAGTTCTTTGCAGTGTTGCTTGTAGCAGATACCTCTAGTAATAAGTAGCTTAAGAGCACTTCTGTGAGTAGTCTGCATATATGATGGGGGAAGAAAACAACTATTCCTTTTTCTTCCCTATGTCTAGTTCTCTGTATATTGAATATAATGGGTCCATAAGAATCTTCAAGATGTGCACTCCTTTGGATGTGAAAATCCCCCTCTAGAAGCTGTTGTGTTTTCTTGGCCAAGTCCTCTTCTAGTGACAAGATAGGTGAGTAGATAGAGGTTTGGACCTGGGCATCCTTTGAGTCATGGGCATGATTAAGTGGAGAACTAAGGCAATACAGTCTAATACTTGTGCTGGATCATTCACAAGGTTCCTGCAGCCTTTTGGGAGTGCACATACACAATTTTGGAACCAGACCTTGGTAATTAGATTTWAAAAAAAATCCAATTCTAGGAAAAATCCACAGCAAAAAGAGAAATGAAATTCACCATGATGTAAAACATAAAAATGACTAAGAGTCTTTTTTTTTTCTTTTTCAGTGAAAAGTTAAAGCCTGAAAAAGGCTGTACAAACAAAAAGCATGTAGTAAAATTTTCTCCAAATGCACCATCAGCCTCCAGCAGTTCTGTAGCTCAGGAACGTCTTGAGTCAGACATTGCTTCTCTGTTTAGTAAGTTGTAATGGTTTTGTTTTCAGTTCACTTTTTGTTTTTGTCACTTGAAATTGTGTAAATACATCATAATATGTTACAAATACTATATTAAAGTATTAAATAATCTATTAAAATACATATGTACATATGCATTAAATATGTAGTATGTCCTTGCACACAGGCAAGTTCCATTTTATTTCTGGCATGTAATTTTTTTTATTTTTGGCAGGTAATGGCAGGTGTTTTTTGGCAGGTTATTTTTTCTAGCAAAGCTTAACTTCAAAGTTAAGCTTCAAATCAAAGTTGGCTTGTTATGGGTTTTTGTTTTGTACTGTTTTGTGCTCTTTGCAAAGAGGAAGAAAGCAAGAGTAGGTCTGAGCAATCTTTCAACACTGAACTATCTAGATTTCCAGATAATGTTTCGGAGTGAGGAATGTGGTGTGAAGAGCTCTGCACACTATTGCTGCGAGCTGTCAGCAGCGGGAGGAAGGGGTTTGGCAGTGATCCCATGAAATACAGCTAGAGTYTGAAAGTGCAAAGTCCATTGAGGAGTAGTTCAACATACACTCTGTACAYTGTCAGTTTTATATTTTATGTGATATAAGTGACTAATAAACATTACTTTCACATTTTAAGAGCCCTCATTTTGATATGAAGGTCAAGKTGTTTATATAAAGATGAGAATTTGAAGACTATCTGAAGAGGACAGTTCTAAGGTGAAGTAGATTTTTTTTCYTGACTGATTGAAAGACTGAAGGATACTGTAAATTTGGGATTTGTTGCAAGGAAAGTGTATTTTTTTATATATCTTTTGGACTGAGCTATTCTGTTGCTTTTGTTGAGCTTAAAATGAAGCACGGGGTAGCTGTGATGGCCGTATTTTCTGCTGGCAGGAGCAAGACTACATTTTCCTGTGTGCACAGCAAACAAGATAGAAGTTTTCCTTATGCTTTTGACAAACTTGGTAAGGAATTTTGAATTCTAATRGAGTCTAATGTACATATATTTTTGAATTAGAGATTGTTGAATTATGAAAAAGCTAATGCRTTGTTACATTTATCAACCTATGAAATGAGTATTCATAAAAGAGCATAGAAAGTAATAATAAAACAAACCTGAGAAGTACAGGGGAACTTACTGACTTTGAAGATTTCTAAATCTCATTGAATTTTGTAAGAGTGTTATAGTGATGTTCTTTCCACTCTTAGTGGCAAAATCTTATTGACAAAAACTTAGTTTTAGAGTAGTGCCCTGTATTATTTATCAAAATGAATGCTCGAAAAAATAGATCAGCAGCACAAAGTAAAGATGAAACGGGAGCTTCTTTTGTTGGAGCCTGTGAAGAACGTGTAATCAGAGCTCAAGTCTATGACACTTGAAAAGAAAACCTGTCAACTGAGAATGGCAAGATTAGCATCCCTGCTTGTACTTAAAAGATGAATACTTCTTTTTACTGTATCTTTCTGCAGTCGAACTCTCAAGTGTAGGCATCTTGAAAGCATGCAGTGTGAAGGACTTTTTAAAAAAGCCATCCTCAGACTCCTGGATTTTATAGGAAGAGATGAAAGTCTGCAATTAGGTAAAGGAATGAAGTACAGTGCTGTTTTTTTTAGAGGCTATGGGCAGAGCATGTGGCAAGGGCAGTTCCAAGAGGACACACGCAAGTGTCTCCTGCCATCCGGAGCAGTGAAGCACRGAGCAGGCTGCTGGGCAGCATCTCGGTGCCCTTGAGATGTCCCCAGCCTGGCTGGGTCAGGCCCTGAGCAGCGGCCCTACTTGGATAAGCTCCCTCTGAGCATGAAGCAGGAGCAGGTGACCGCTGCTCATCTCAGGCTGCTTTTTCCTGCGGTTCTGTGTGACAGGTGCCATTGCTYGTTTGGTGAGAAACGATGGAATTCCCATCCAGGAGCAAATAAAAATACTCAAGCGGTTCAAAATACTGKTTTTTTTCAGCAGTAAGCAGCATCCAGTGTTCCACAGGATGGAAGAAACTCCCTAGGGACAGATTTAGGAAGGGGGATTTCTGTAATACGTAGGAAGAGATTGATCTCTGATACAGATTGTTTGAAATTCAGCCTGCAGGTGCAAGACATGATCTCTTTTCCAGATAGCTGGCAATACCTGCGGCTCTAAACACACTGTTCTTTCRTGATTCCAGTTAAAGTACTGACTCAAATTACTTCCAGTGGAAAAGAGTTGCATAGTTTAATTGCGTACTTTATAAAAAGTGCTTCCTTTGATTGGTTTCAAGTACTTCAACAGGTTTTGTTCCCTTGTTTTTTGAGTTATGATGCAGAAGAAGAAAAGTTTGTCATCTAGTGTTTTTTTAACTGTTGATCAATGTATGTAATTTTCTAATCCTTTCTAAATTAAAAAATCCCTCTTTTTGTAATAATTGTAATACTTCATATTTCAGTAATTTTTATCACCCTTCAAAATATTTTAAAAATTTTATAACCCTTTTATCACCTTTCACAGGTGATCAGCATGGTGCTTATTATTCCAAATGAAGTTCCATCATTTTGTTACCTTAAAGGAATTATAGGATTATTATAGTATTTGCTTCTTGTTCCTTGCAGATCCTAGTATTGTGGGGTATGATTGCTTTAAGATGATAAAGTCTTATATGAGAGGATATTCTATACTTTGCATCCATATCCACCCCTGGTAAGTCAAAAGAAGTGTCTCCTGYTTAATGAAAACTATTTTCTCCTCCACCCACATCCTCTTTTCTTTCTTTTTTTTTTCTTCCCTACTGAGTTGATTCTATTTTAGATGAATCAAGTGCTGAATCCAAGTGGCCACAGTCTTAGTCATAGGCTTGTGCAGCCCAGTTTGGAGAACTGACAGTCAGTGTGTGACAGAGCCACCCCTCCTACACCTGCATCCAATGAACATGTCTGTGAAACCACTTATTTGTGGGAGCTGACCTTGTTTTAACCCTAGATGCACAATAATCAAGGTTTTCTACTGAATTCAGAACTRGGATTGTTAATTGTTTAGTTAATACAATGCACACTGGATTTAGAGTGAGTTCAATAATGGCATGTGAATATTCATCACTTAGCTTGTCACTCATCAAAAATTTCCTGTAGGAAATCAGAGTCATTTAGCTTCTTTCTGGAAGTTTTCCAGATTTCTAAAGCCTGACATGGTTTTCCCAAGTAAGTTGACTGTGGAATATTTTCCATTTACTTGAACTTTTCAAACATATTTGATAATCACATCAAGATTCCTTGATTGAAGAGTGTGTTAAATATTTATTACCCAAAAGAGTTTAAGATTGTCATAGTATTCTTTTAAATGTAAGGATCTGCACCGTAGAAGTAAATGATGCTTTTTAGGGATTACACAGGATACAGGATTTAATCCTTGTAAAGTAAGATGGAATGATAGGCTACTTCTCTTCTACCATTGACCGGCAGTGCATTTTGCAGATATCCTGCTTTCTTTTTTTTAGGATATTGGGAATGACATTTAGGATCAGCTACCCATAAATCACCAATTGGAAGCCAATTAAAAAAATACGTTGTCACTGTGGAAGAATATAAGAACTTTTGGAGTGAAGGAATGTCAGCATATTTTGCTTTTAATGAATAAACATTAAGTAAAAGGGAGAAGTTCTCACTTTGTACTAATATTGGTTATAGAAAACCTCTTTTGGCCCTCACTTCTTTGAAATTACTTATGTGAAAGTTCTTTGTACAGTGTGGTGACTGTGTAGGTATTTTGGATCACTCAGRCGCTCTCGGAGCCGTGAGATAACAGTTCTTGATGCCTTCCACCACAGCAGTGGCACCTGCCTGAGAGATGCAGGTTAGGGAGCAGCTGCACACCCGGTGCCAAGGGCTGGGAGCCACTCAGGGACTGTGCAGTGTTTGCTGATCCTGGGGAAAGGCAGCAGCTTGGGAGCGAGCGCTTTCCCTAGGGAAGCTGGTGAGTAGATCTGAAACTGTGCGTGGAGGTGCTGGCTGAGTCACTTTCAGCAGTGCTGCTCTACAAGTGATACGTGCGGCATGCTGGTATGTCAGCCGCTTCACAGCGGTGTTGGGAAGGAGCAAGCTGGTTAACATGCTATTCCTGACATCCTATAGTGTCACTTTAGTATGCTCAGCAACTGTGATAGTATCACTAAAGTATGCTCAGCAACAATAAGAAAAAAAAAATAATAATTTGTGTCAAAACCCAGAATATACATCTCACATATTAAACTGCTGCCTTTGTTCATCTTACTGTGTTCTCATAGATAAATTTCTTAGGATACCTTTTTTTTTTCAGGTATACTAAATCAGTTGGTTTAAATACATATCTGCGTAAGATCAAAATTTGTAATGTCAACAAACAGGTGCCTTTKTTTAGAGAAGCATGTGAACTGACAGCCATTTACTCAAGTGTTTAGTCTCCTGGCCTACGTTTGGCTGGTAGYTTTAATATTTGCTTTTAGGATTAATAGGGAAATAATGACACTATTTGCATGCAGCTGTAAAGTTGTGCCAGAGTGGTTTTTAATCTGTTAATTACTAGAATTTGTAAGCTGCTTAAGCAAAAACTGGTGCTATGAAAAGCCTTTTTACTAGTGAATATTGRGTCTTTTCATTGTGTTATTAATTTTGGGGGTAGCTGAAGGCAATATTTTAATGTTACTAATATCTATAGCTTAGTTTGTATCTTAAATATGTTTGTCCCCTTTCTAAATGAGTGCATTGAAAATGGCAAGGTAAAAGCTAACAAAATTAAATTGTCCTATAATCTTTTTGAATCCAAAGGTAAGTCATCTCAAAGGTGAAAATGTATTTTGATAATCTAAAAAASATTATAATGATACAGAAATTAATGACGTGAGTCTACAAATCATATATTCACAGAACATAATGCTTTTTTTTTAATAAGTGAGCAAATATATCTCATGTCAGTAAGACCACTTACAACTGGGTAACAGTGTTAAGTGTTGTCAGGACTGTGGCCCRTGCCATGCCACATGTGAGACGTGTTACTGTCGAGCTGAACACTGCAATTGGAGAAATGTTGTGGAGAGGAAACCAGCTGGCAGCTTGTGACACAGTGGGGAGGATGACCATGAAAGTGCCGGGAGTCATGGAGCAGTAACTTAAGTGGTCAAGGAGCACTCCAGTTTCCCTGCAATTGTTTTTTGGATAAAGTAACGAAATATCCAGAAAATTGCAGTTGATCCTAACTTGAGACTTGCAAACTCTCATTACCGAAATTTTTTTCTGAATTATTCTTGTCCTGTTCTCATGCTGTGTTTGTGTTTGTGCACAGGCATAAAATAAGCCTTGTGATGGTTAATGCTCTGCAGCAACAGCTGTAGCACGGCGCGCAAGCTTGGTGTTCAGATTTTGTTCCAGAGGAGAGAACTGTGCCAAACATGAACAGTATTTGAGACACTTCAGGACTTTGCAGAGATCTGATAGCATGAGCAAGAAAAGATAACTTTTCCTATATTTGATAGATTTAAAATATCACTATCATCCATGATGTGTAGAAAGCTTTAAAAATAATTATAAATCTCACAATCAGTACTGAATTGCAGTCATGCAACCTCATGTCATTGCATTGCAGTCATTCAGTGCAACTAGACATGGGGAGCCAGGGATCCTGAGAACTACTTTCTTACTCTGTTGTGTCCCGTAAATCTTTGTGCAATTGATTTAACTTGTCTGTCTGTCTATCCTCCCTTCTTGTAACACTGTTTTCTCACAGGCGTAGAGTGGGACTTAAAGCACATAAGTAATTTTGAAACTCTTAGGAGAAAGATGCTAGGGCTGAAGAGTGCTCTTCCTCATATGGTGGTAGGTTAAGTGCAGGGTAGATAAAGCATATGTAGGAGTAATATTCTGGGAAAGAGAATTTTTGGAGGTTCAAAAAGCTTGATCAAGTTATCTTTAATCTTTTTCTTTTTTATGTGGATTTTTGCATATCTTCATTTTAGTCAAAGGATACTTTTATACTTACGTGACAAAAGCCAGTCTTACTCTTTTTCTGTAGGGAGCTGAGAAACCTCCGGAATCTCATGCAAGTAATTTTGTAAATTTGCCATCCCAGATTCCCAACTTAAGCCTTTTGCATGCAGTTTTAGGCATGCTCTGAACAAGACTGTCCCCTAAACAGGTAGGGAACCAAGGAGAATCCCATATTCTGGTTCCCCTTTTAATTCGCAAGATATCTGGGACCACCGTTGGCTGTAGCTCTGTCTGCAAACACAGGCTACACACACTGCTACATTCCAGGGAATGCCAAAACCTTCCTCCCTGTAGCCCTGAGCCTCCGTCCAGCCAGACTGTAGGAAGGRCTGGCCCAGATGACCTTGGAAGATTTCTGCATTCCCAATTGTGATAGTTGGCAGGAAGTGGTTTTGCAAGGACTGAGGTTAGCTAGAGTCAAGCTGTACTTTTATTCTGCAGATTAACCATATCATGGGATTGTAGTGTTGTTTAAGTAGATATGGAGGAAGGGGGAGAGGAGAAGGGAAGTAAAGTTTGAGGAAAGGTGAAGACAAAACAGGAAAGAAAATAACTTGAAGGCAGGACACAGGATCAATGTATCAGGTCGGATGGGCTTGGGTTGCCCACCCTTTTGCAGATGCTGCAGGCAGTGACAGAGTGAGCAGTGACTATGGAGGGAAGGAGAAAGCAGGAGAAAGGGTGAGCTCGATGGGGGCAGTTTGAATCTGGCAGCAATTCGAATCTGCTGAGCCACACCACTTTTGTAATACGTTACAAGATTATACTGAAAACTGCAATTCTTGCTGAGTTTTCCCTATTTGCTTCAGCTTTATCTTATTTATCTGATCATGCTACTAGCATGTCCAGGGGGTAGCAGCTTCTGGGAAACATCCTGACTAAAACTTACTGGAAACTTAAACTTCATGAATTCACATGCTGGGAGAGCAATCCTGGGGGCAAGGCTAGGCTGCAGCAGCAACCGAGGAGCCGGGGGCCTGTGTTTGGCCCTGGGCACAGGGAAAAACCCCAGAGGATGGAGCAGGAAAGCTCTAAAGTTGAGTGCCAGCTRCTCAGGCCTAAGCCGGAGGGAGCTGTTATCAGGGTATGCTCTAAATCCAGCTCTTTCCTCAGACCTGCCTCCCATTCTTTCCATCCAGAGAGACCTGCAATCTTTTCTTCAGAAAGACAGCAAGGGTCACTTAAAAAGTAGGACACAAGGTGTTAGTGTTTCCTTCTTTTGCAATGTGGGAATTAAGGTTCCGTCTGGGAAGGAGGAGMTGTAATTTCTTCCTCTGCCAGAAAGGATTTCAATAGCTCTCCCCCAGGCTGCTGCAGCCACCAGTGCCCCGGTGGGCGGCGAGCATCTGAGCTGTGCTCATTTTACAGAGTACACACTAAATAATAAACAGGAAACAGTTCAGAAATTTGAATGAGAGTCAGGGGATATAAATCCTGTAGTCCTTGAGGTCAGCGTATTCTAAGAGGGAAGCAAATAAATCTGTCTAAAAGCATGACTTCAAAAGTATTTGTGCTGACTGGCTAAACTATGTTAGAAGCAAGTTAGCTGGAATTTTGCATCGACCTTTTCTCCCTGTGACAGGGATTATTATTGATTCAGTTTACCCTAGTTCCCTTCCTAAAGTACAAAGGGTTACTTGTATTTCTGACTACATAAATTATTCTTATTTAGTATATGACATTTTG